TCGCTCCGCTCGTCCCCCTGCACAGCTCACCCGTGACACCCGCAGTACCGAAAGTTTGTGCCCGAAAGCCGGCAGAGACACCTGGCTTCGAGGGCAAGTCCCGCTTCCACACGCCCTTTTTTCCTCCCCTCCTACTGAGCGGAATGCTCAAGTTTCTGCATTCATCAATAAGGGGGTTTCTCCACAGTTTGGCTGAAGAGCAGGACAAAGGGAGGAGAGACTGAGTGGAGCCATGAGCCGAGAAGGACAAAAAGAGCCATCTGCAACGAGATGGGGGCCTTTACAAAGGAGGGAAATAGGGCAATTCCCCCACATTGTTCAGCAAGGGGGACAAAGGAGTTGGTGAGCTCAGGTGAGAACAGATGGCGGGAGGCCGGAGTTCGGTGTAGGCGGCCGGGAAGGCTGTAACTTCTGAGTACCTTGGCCAAGGGGGAAAAGGAGAGGGCGTCCCTCGGTCGGGAAATTAGGATAAAAGGGGGGCTGCGTCCCCCAGCAATTTGAGAGGCCCCACAGGGATACGCCCGGTGGACTCTCCCTTTATTCGAATAAAGTTTTAGGACTCCTCTGTCTCCTTTTGGACATTCAGTTCTTGACAGCGAGATTTTCCGCACACTACTAAGGGTTTTTGTTTCGGTGAAGATGTGCAGGGATTACACAAAAAACACACACTTTGCATCTGTGTCGCTGCTCTGGAGTTCAGCTGGTTGCAGGACATGCCGCCACTTACTGTTCCCTCACAGATGAAAAAAGCTGTTTCAGAAACTGCGCAGGCGGACGGCACTCCACAATCAGGGAAACACGTTTATTTAGCATTCCTGGTTATTCCTCTGTTTTTCGCGCTCCTCGCCCTACAGCCATGACGTGGAGGCCCCGACGCTTCCCGGTCGCCTCAGGGCTCTGCGCCCCGCCAGGGCAGCCCCCTCGGCTCCTCCGGGCGCAGTTGGCGTCTCCAACCCTACCCGACTTGGCCCTGGCTGCGTCGGTGGCACCCGGGGACGAGTCTCAGCATCGAGAACTGGGGGACAGACGGCACCATTTCCAAAAAAGAAATGCGGCAGCTGCGGTTTCTACCTCCCCTGGCTACGAACGCGCTGGACATTCCTGAAGGCAAAATACCACGAACTACGAGAACTTCATGTTGAGCACACGTTCAACAAGGGAAGGCAGCAGGGAGGGAGCAGGACAAGGACATCTCTGAGCCTTTCATTGGGAATCACGTAACACGCTCTCCGTTATTCCTAAAATGGTCCCAGTGTTGCTGTGCTGACTTGTGCAGAACTTTCCTAAAGTTAGCGTCCAGCTATACATAACACTATCATATTTCCCTTCAGAGATTCAAAATATGGTTCCTAACACAGCCATCAACTCACAGATACACTTTACATGATTTAAGTCTAGAAGTTCTTAATTTTCCATAAACCAAAAACCACCACCAACAAAAACTGACGCTTTTCTTGGACAGGTTTTAAAACGTGACATTTCTGGGGCCCCTCTGACATGGCGAGCTCTGTGCATGGGGCTCTCCAAAGCAGTAGGTGCAGAAAGACACCCCATAAATATTTTCAGTCTTCCAGTGGTTTCCGCGTGTCCCGGGTGGCCTCAGAGGACACAGAGCAGTGCCCTCAGTTTGCACGGTCAGCAGACCGGGTGGCACTGTGGGTGCCAGCGGTCCCGGGGGTTGAGACATCGAGGCATTTCAGCCCTCTCAACATCCTCGGCCAAAATCCAGGGCAACCCGTGGGGCTTTTCTCAGCGGCGCAGGCGGAGGAAGAACGCGTGCTTGCACTCCTTGCTGTCTAAGGGATAGTACTTGTCATAAAAGTCCAAAATGTATTCTTCAGTCTTAAATCCAAATTTCTGGTAGAGCAGCATAGCGGGGTTGCTTGCAGAGACGTGAAGGGTTACATCTTTGCCCATGCAGGTCTGCCAAGTGGAAGGGGAAAAATAGTATTAAAACACACACACACGGGAATGAGAAAGCCTCTAGGGCAATGTGGAGGTGAAGAGTTTCGTACGGTCTGGTGTTTAAGTTACCAAGAAAATGCAAGGAGGAAAAAAAAAGAAAAACCCACAGAGGTTACCACACATAGCAACAGCTGAAATGTGAAGGGAACTCTCCCATTTCTCAGAGCTTTCATTTCTGAGAAAGGGGGCTGACAATAGAAGCGGCTTTGGGATTATAATTTGTCATCTTTCCCTTGCCAATTGCTAAATAATTGTTAATTAAAACTAATCTCAGTGTATAGCGCTAATCTCAAATGCTTAACAACAATGGCCTGGAGAAAAGGCAGCGGGTGCCAGAGGATCAGGCACCCTGCTCCTCCCCGCCTGCAAACAAAGCTGAACTCTCTGCAGCTGTGCCAGCAGCACCCAAGTACCCCAAGGCTGTGGTGCTGGAATTCCCATCTATCCCACCCATCTCCTCGCCCAGCCTCCAGGGCACCACACTCACCTCCTCAGAAGGCAGGGAATTCAGTTCAGTTCAGTCAGAAAAAGACATTGCTACTGTTACCTTAGAGATCCTGCATTATTTACCTGGCAGTTCTCTGAGAAAGATGCCACTACAGTAATTTTTCATGCTTTCTCCTAGTGATTTAGGAGAATTGTGTGTGTAATGAACATTGTTTAACTCTAAATGGAAACACTAAGCAACATCCCTTAGGAAATGACCACAATGATTCTGAGGAAAAGCAATTCTTGCCCTCGCAGGGATTTAAAATTGAGAGGACTCAATGGCAGATTTGCCAACACTTGCCAATCTTGACAGACAGGGATGAGGGCAGCTCTTCAAATCTTGGACCCTTCACATCTTGGCTCATCTCTAAGGCCTGTTCTTACCAGGTGTTGATGCCTCACACTAGCTGACTGTAGTTAAGGCCACTTCATCTACACCAACATGCTCAGAAAACATGAAGGAATGAATTTAAAAACAATGGCTTAGTGAACTATCTACCTAGTGCCTCTATCACCATGTAGAAGGAAGAGAGATGGGCACTGCAAAGAGCTTTCCTGGTAGGAGAGTTACCCTCAGGTGTTTTTGAGGAGCTACCCTCAGTGAAAACTGTTCTTCCAAGGCAGAAATCACTGTTCCCAAGGCCCTGCCAAGCACTCCTTACCTATCTCCAGCCAAACGAGTTGGAGTAAAAGCAACTTCTATAGTGAGTTTTTGCTAGTGCAGCTCCTCTTGACTAAAACACGTTAAGGAATGTTTTACATCTGCAGCGCTGCCAAGAGATTTCAGGGAGTGGTAAAACCGTGGGCCCTGAAGAGGCACCGTTGGGTTCCGGAAAGGACATCTGTCTGTGTGCATCCCTGCTTAAAATTAAGCTGGGTTTCATGCAGTTGAATTAATGAATGGAATTAAGGCCACTTGATGCCTGAACAGCAGTATTCATTCAGGGGTTTAATGAAGTTTAACTGCTTTAATACCACCCCTTCAGTTAGCTCAGATTAATTTTCTCAAGTGTCCCTGTGGAACAAAGCCCATTGCAAGCGCGTTTGACCAAATTTGAATGAGGTTGCACACATTTCTTCTTTATCTTCAGTTCAGCTGGACCTGAACCAGCACAGTAGAAGTGGAAAAAATGATTAAGATCAGTAAGTGATTTAATGCAGTACACTGGTCACAAAACAAACCTCCAGGTCTCGGTAGCAGAAGCTGCAATAGACACTAATACCTAACCAATTATATATATATTTTTTCTCTATACCCCAAGTTTATGAGCTTTGGACCACTGAAAATTGAATCCCAAAACAGTCAAAAATCTATTTACGCTGAATCCCTGACCAGTAAGGTTTTTAAGTGAATTCACGTTGTAAATGTTCATGTAAATGGTGGTGTGGACAGCCTGTGCAACTGGATGAATAAGTAAAGAGAGAAAGGGAAAGGAGAAAGGAAGGAGCGAGACAGCACAATTTGCACTGTGCCATCTGCATGTGTGCAAACAAGGAAGAAGGGAAGGCTAGTTCTTTATTTAGCGGAGAAACGGGATCTTTTCCGTTACCTGGATAAGATGGTAGATCATGAAGGTTGCAATTCCAGCTCTTCTCCACTCGGGGTGAACGAGCAGAAAAGAGATGTAGGCTTCGTTGTATTTCACGTCTGGTACCATAAAGCCAAAGGCAATAATAACTTTTTTGTAAAGAACAACAACGCTGAAGTCTGGATACTGCAGGCACTCAGACAAATCAATCCCTGCAGCGAGAAAGATAAACAGCAGTTGAAAGCATCACAAACAGAAAGTGGAGCAGGCTATACTTTGCCATCCCTGTGTGGAAATTCAGAGTTGAAAGCCCTGTCTGGAAACAGTTATTTAATTCTTTCCTTCTGCCTTTACTTTAAAGCTCTGTCATTCTGAGATGCTTCAACCAAACACATAGTCAAAACAAGACTTCTGCAACTGATGTCATAGGTGCTGGATTTGGCAAAGGAGAGAAGCCTGCCTGAAAATGGGGACAAAGCTAATTTCCTCCCAAATGATCTCAGGAGGAAACTATAACACAAGAAGCTGATTCCAAGGAAGGGTTCAATAATAATAGAGCCATCCCCAATGACTCTGTTAAGGACCCAGTTTTAAATATCCAAATTGACAAAGACAATTGCAGGTGTAAACGTGCAGGTTTGTGCCCCATTCCACCTGGCCTCCACCTTTCCTCTTCCAGTCTGCAAACGCTGAAGGACCTTCCTGAGGAGAGGCAGACGGAGGGGGCGTAATTTGGAGCGTACCCATCCCGCTCCCGCAGCGGAACCTCTCCAAGCCCAGCAGACACGAGGCTCGGCTTCACTATCAGCAGCATGAGCTGCCCAGGGTGATCCTACCCCTCTTCCCCACCTGCTCCAGAGCTCCTTCCTCCTCTGTGCTGTTTGTGCAGCTGCATTATGAACCTGGGCAGGAAATTCACAGCCATCAAAAGCCATTTGCTCATAGTCTGTTCCTTCATCTGGGGTGTGAAGGATCTTCTCTTTTCAGCCTCAAAGTGGCAATCACTGATGTATTTGGAAGGTGAGATGACAAAGTAACAGTTTTTCCAGGAACCTTTACCACTCCCCCGAGATGCCAGACTGCCCAAAGCAAAGAGCCCGGCCAAAGTAAGCAGCTGAATTAACTCTTGCTCGAGAGCGAACTGGGTGGAGTGAGTAAGACGTGGGAGGAACTGATTGGCAGTAGGGAGCAGTTGACTGCAAAATGCCTCAGAGCAGGTCTGTACAGGAGCCCTCCCTTGCCCTGAGCACACCAGCGTCAGTGAAAAGCTCTGAAGATTCGGGGGGAAAAGTGTAAGAACTGAGGGCTGGACTCACCTGCTGAGTGCCTGAACTTCAAAGAACTCAATCAATGAGAGAACATAATTATTAGAAAACAACAGGGTGCATCTAAGATACAAACTGCCTCTAGTAGCATCTTTTCAGATTCTGCTATAGCAGCCACACATCATGGGTGTCTCAAATGCTGAAACTCAGGTGGGATCAAGCTGTAATTTTCACGGCTCTTTCTCCGAGGCACAGTGCTACCTCTCCCAGGCCCCCTCGGCCGCACGCCCCGTCCCAAGCACTGCCCCCTCAGCAGTGCCAGCCCACCTCTTTGTGCAGCCACATGATTAACGGGCTCAGAAAACTGTTCCGGGTTAAAATTAACCCAGCGAATAACAGTGGATTATTAACAAGTTCACCAGTTGGTTCATCACGTATCACTGTACTGGTATAGCAATGGTGGGTCTAGGGAAACAAGGCGGGGGGAACTGCTTCCATCAGTATTTTCTGCTCAGAAGCAGTGCCTGCAAAGCCAAAGCCTCTGTGTCCAAACAGCCTTTGGGCTGCTGTAAGCACCAGGATTCCCAGCGTGAACAGCATAGGGTGAGTCCCCAAGGTGCCACCTGATCTAGCCTGAACTTCAAATGCACAACCAGAAGGGAGAGACTATGACAAAGGAATCCAGCTTTTGTTACAACTGCAGCATTTTGTGCATTTCTGGCAAAGAGGAAGCCAGGCCAAGCTTGCCCCTCTGAAATGTGCCATTTGGACAAGGAAGAGCACAGAGAGCTCTGACCCCAGCTGCAGCTTGTGGGCGCTGCCGAACTACAAACAAGCTGAATCACTACCTGCAAATCAAAACGTAAAGCAAATGGTTACTATGAATAAAGGTGCGTCCTGTTTGCACTTGGCTTTTCCACATCAGTCCGCAGTGCTGCACAAGCTGATCTATGCAGTAGGATTACTACTATTATTATTCCAGAAGAGCTAGAGACTAGAGCTGCCCAACTGCAGGCCTCCAGTCTGGAACAGACACTGTCCCAAGGAGCTCACCATTCAAGAGATGATACAGAAGAATCAAGACCAAAGCTCTCCCATACCTTGCAAATGCTGAGAAATAAGGAACACCACGGGGAAGTAAGCAGCAGTCAGTGCAACTCCCAGATTTCGCTTCAGCCCATCAAAGCTAGGGCTACTAGGAAGAAACTTTCTTACGAACCCAATAAACATTACGGATAAAACTGTTTCTTACTTCAAGGCCCGATTCTGCAGAACATATAACTTGATGCTAGAAGGTGTCAACTCCTGCTGACATCAGTCATATCACCCCAAATGACCAATTTCTTTAAGCACTGTGTTAATTAGTGCTAATTGCCCAGTTCTATACTATCTCAAAAGACAAAGACACCAAATGTGTCCATTCTGGCTACATTCCTACAGGCACCAGATAGTGGTTTTCTAAGTACTGAACCAGATACCAACTGAAGAAAACTTTGGCCCAATAACATTTGTTTTTAGGAGAAAACTAGTTACTTCTTAAAAATAAATGAATAAATAAAAACAAGCACTAAAGAAATCTTACCAGGCCAGAAGAATTCATGGCACATGGAGTTTATAGTGGGTATGTGATTAGGGCGAACATAGCAGTAATCAATGGGTGCTTCTGGCTCAGCCTTCCAGTTGGGATCAGTCCTGTGCGGATATGCCCGGATTTCTGCCAGCAGTCTGAGTTTTGGGGGCTTTGTCTCATAGTCGCGCCTGCCCATAACATGAACAGCAAACACAAGAGGCCAGTCAGGAACAGTAACTGCTGCTGCAGCTGAGTGGGTGCTGCCCACAAAGTATTTCTTGACATGCTCAGCTTGCAACATATGAACAGCCTTTTCTTCACGTGGGAAAGCAGCACCCAACTCAAAAGCAACAACAACAAAAAAAAAACCCACTGCACAGGATGTCAAGATGCTTCCCAGGTGCAGAGCACATTCAGCCAGTCCATCTCTACAGGAAGGCCAGGAAAATTACGGTTCTGACCCAAGAAGAGCTGCAGCTTGCACTGAATGGTGCTCTATGGTGACTCCCTCCCTGACTTGTCCTCTCCTGGACATTGACCTCTCAGGCCCTTCCTGATGCAGGGCCATTTAGCTGTTCAGCTAAGTAAATCACTGTGCCTGCAGGGTTACCATAAAAACTGCAGGGAGGGATAAGTATCACTGCCTCAAAGACAGTCTCTGACCGCCCCTACCTGATGTAAGGCTTCAGAACCCGAGATGTGTAAGGACTGACAATACTGTGGTCTGTCACCAGGTCTTCTGAGCCTACCAGTCGGTACAGAAATTTTGTCGTCTGCTGTCGATATCCCTTCAAGGCAGGCAGCACTGTCTGCATACACAAACATAAATAAATAAAATCTAAAACACATCAGGAAGATTAGTCAATGACTTAACATGGAGAAATTGTAACAACAGAGAGGAATAAAAAAGGGCTTTTGCAATAAGGGTTTCCTTCTATGACAGGATACTGTGGGCCTACAGCATAGTGGTCGCACCCAGAAGCAGCCTGTAGGGCACTCTCAGATTCGAGCCCCTGAGCTTACGAGCTGCACACCTTGCTCTGCACCAAAGCTCTAAAACGACGAGTGCCCAAAGCCTACTTAGATCCAAAAACACTCACCTGGTATCTGTCCAAGATCCTGAAGTCCTGGCTGGTAGTTCTGTATGTTGCTTGTGCTACTTGGGGCCGGGGACCACCTCCTTCTTTGGCTCCATAAATGCCGTCGACCAGCAGCAGGGCAGCGTTCACAACCTGGTCCAAGTCGAAGAGGGGCAGCCCTCTTTCCCGCTTGGCCTGCCTGACAAGCAGCTTGCGCCTCAGTCTCCGTGCCTCTGGGGTCATGCTTATGGCATTGGGACAGGCTTCCAGTCTCTTCAGCAGCAGCTTTTCCTCATAGATACTCACGGAGGCATGCTTGGGGGCTCTGGCTTTAGCATCCTTCTCCAGCTGGGCTTTCCTTTTGTCTCGCCCCCTTGCCTGTAGGGATGCATTGGACTCCTCGGGATCTTCACTGTCACCTTCCATCCTTTCTGCTTTTTCTTCTTCACTCTCCACCTCTTGCTTGATCTGCTCAGCTGTCTTCACCTTTTTTCTACCTGTTATCCCAGGCCCAGCTGTTCCACTTGGAGGGGGCACATACTCTATTCCTGGGTCTATGACTCCGTCTCCTTCCATCTCTTCATCATCTGTTCAATAGATCAAAATAATCCAGGACGAAAATGTAAGTATCAGAGCCCCATTTCAAAAAAGGTTTTCACAAGACTTTTCTGCTAAAGGAAAATAAAGTGGATTTACCCCAATACTCCATTTTCTATTTAACATTTGGTCCTCCTGATTTTGGATGCTGGAAAGGACATACCTTAGGGATCCAATTTCAGGATGCGGAATCAACGCCCCTCTTAAGCTGTCTTCCAGTTTGGTATGCAAAAACTTCCTGCACCTGAGTTGTAAGGCTCACATTCCTTGACAAATTTTAAAATGTGTTTTCATGTAATTGTTGGTTGGAAATTCCTGAAGACTTGGGATCAAATGACCAAGGTGGTAAATTAAGTCTTCAGCTAGTGTACCCAGGATAAATTCTGTTTAATCTGAGGGAATAATTAGGAGTTACATAGGCACAGGATCGATCCGCCTACAGAACGACATTATTTTTTTCTTTCCTTGCAACAAGAAGAGCTTTATTCTCTCCTTTCTCCATTACAATGAGATCTGGCCCCTCAAGGAACTATCAGCTTTCAGCCTGAACAAGGGTATTGTGACTTGACACAAATTTAACGCCTATTAGATGGGCTTGTTAATTGTCCACGTTTAAACTTACCAAACTGCAGAAACACTGCTGTGAAAATAAAAGTCCAGCCATTTTAGAAGCAAGGAAGGCAAAATTAAGAGTTATTTAGCAGTATATTTCAGGCTGCAATAAAACACTTGTGTTGAATGCTGCCGCAATTGCTAGGTGAAACCCTCTGCCCACTGTTCTTCTGAGGCATCCAGGATGCTCAAGAAGAGGATAGAAGTTGTGATTACAACTATGAAAATCTAATTTAAGATTTATATGCATTAAGACAAAACAGAATTTTCTCAGTTAGTTTCCACGCAGTCTTGAAAAAATCTTGCAGGTCATTGGGAGCTTCCATTTTTTAAAACGTCTTGCTTGAAACCTAAGCTTCCTGTTAAACAAACAACAAACAAAAGGAAAACACAGCATCTCTCACCATGAAACAGGGCCTGTGGTGGCATGGCATCTGGGATGAGATCTGCTTCTGAGAGAAGGCTGGGAGTAGCTGAGTGCGAGGCTGGAGTTCCAGGAGCAGAGAAGTCCAGAGATGGAGAAGGAGATGGGCTTGTCAGAGGGGTGCGATCCGAGGAACTCAAGGAGGAAAAATCAATCACCTCTCCTTTCTCAAGGACCATGTCAGGGCGACGGCCTCGGCTGCTGAATTTCACAGGCGTGGAGGAAGTGCTGCGGTCCAGGAAGCCGGCTGCCTCCTTCTGGGCTCTCCGAATATCCTTGGCTTCCTGAGTGCGAGACCTCTTCTCCTTCAGCTCCATGGCCGACTCAACTGGATTGCGGCTCACCCGTTTCCGGAGCCCTTCCACAGTAATGATGGGATCCAGAGGCGGCTTGGAAGCTGCTGAAGAATAGTTCGGTTATTCTAAAGGACACCGAGTCCCTGCAGTCACTATATACACACCATACAGTCATAAGAACTGGTCAGCTAAAAACCTTAAAGAACATATTCTGAAAATATAGAAGAAATTCACTCTGAGGCTTGTAACAAAGTCTGTGCACCACTAAAATCTCCTTTTAAGCCCCAGTCTTGCTCCTCTACACAGAAGGGAATTTGCATCTAGTTTGGACAAAAAAAAAAAAAATCCCAGGATAAAGAATAGCACAGAAATTATAGATTCAGGTGCACAAAGCTCAGAAGGCTTCAAATCACAGTTCATACAAATGCAAAGACAGACTAATATAAAATTGACTGCTCCTTCTCATTATGCAGTATAGTCCTCTAAAATCACCCATGCCAGAAGAGCAGAACTAAGAAAAAAGCACTGTGCTTTGTTGTTATCCACACACACAACTGCACTGTTTTAAATAAACCTTTTTTAATGTCTTCCAGCACCGGGCCCAGGCAGGAATCTAACTGTCATCCTGGAAATATTTACCTTTTGCCTTCAGCGCAGATGAAGGCAACTTCTCTCCTTCAGGTTTCATTGTTGGGGGTTTATTATGAACAAGCTTCCACCACCCTGGTTCTCCAAATTCCTGTGCTCCTGAGCGGAAGAACAAGGGGCTTCCTACAGAAAGGCAGCCAGCCACTGTGCTCCACCACGTCGAGGTCTTTTTCCTATAGAGGAACAGAGGAAAAAAAAAAGAAAAAAAGAATGTTAAGTCACCCTTTGCTAGCTGTGTTTTTATCACGGAGCCTCCTGATGCAGATTGCGAGGGCCGGGCGCTTTTGCCATTGACACCAGTGTTTGCTCATGTCCTCACGTATCCCCCAGGCTCAGAGAGATGAGGGACTCATGAATTCCCTCTCAGAGCACCACTCTGAAGGCCACTCTGCAACATATCCATGGGCTCTGATCTACGGAGCGCTGTGAAGCCAAGTCCTGCCACTGCCCTGCAACTACAGCAGTGCGGGACCCAATTTGTCCTTGTTGTCACTGAGTCAGGACACGCTGAGCCTACAAAGGACAGGTCTGCCTTGCCGCTGCAGTCCTGCTATTTCAAGTACTCACATATTCGTTTAACTCACTCACCTAACAGCTCTACAAAGACAAAAGAGCAGGAGCCCAGAGATAGCTGTGTTGACTCAGTGTTACATATTCCATTCCTGAAGATGGCAAACAGGACTCAGGCTGTACAGGATGGGAGAGGCAAGGGGAAGATAGAGGGATGAAGGGGTCACTTCACGCAGAAGGAAACGAGAATTATAATGTAAACACCTGCCCTAACAATTTTGTGATTTCAGTCCAGTTAGCAAAACATGTCCCCAAAGCCGTAGGATAGGACCCAAGGGTTGAATTCACAAAGAGGGTTGGGATCAGGTGACTTCACTTTTAACTGGTCTTTACTTGCTTGAATCCATAGCTGCAGCAACATCGGACACTGCAGAGGAGAGGCAGCAGTAGGAGAAACAAAACACTGAGGACAACGAGTGAGCAGCAGGGAACAGCAAGGTAAGAGGACAGCGCACGCGTGTCAGGAGCTCAGCTCTGCAGCCCTGTCTCTGCTCAGGGTGCTCTGTTACAGAGCTTCTCCTGCTCCATGGGGAACAGGATCTGTACTGGCCAACAAACGTGAGCTGGGTGCAGTCACTGAACTGTTTCTGAAGCCTCGGGAGCACTGAAGCCGTTTGCTTTGTGGGGCAGCGTATCGGTTACACACTGGAGGCACAGCTCCTTCCTCTTAGATCTGGCCACAGGGCTAATTTAAAGGTCCCTTAGGGAAGAAAGAGTGAGAAAGTGTCAAAAAACGGAACCTATAGCCAGTAACCGAGATACACCCCTGGACAACGGATAATCAGGTTTAAAGCCTCCTTTTGCACAAACTGTTGGGATTTCTCCTCACTTTTGCACGTCTCCACTGCCAAAGACACAATTATTCAGGGGCTAGGCAGAGCTGAGCAGGTATTTGCTGCTGCCTGAATACTGCAATTGGACATCTGAGGGCTTCGACTCTCCAGTGGGCTAGGATTAAAGCCAAATGCCCCAGTTTGCAGCATGGAGTGTAAGTCTAGATCAGCGGCAGTTTAATATGTTAAGGAGGAGAGAGAAGCAGTTCTACAATTGTTACACACACGGTTCAGCTCCCTGTGCTCCAGCACTGGACAGATGCAGGCAAGGAGGGGAGCTCACAGCCCAGGGCAGTCATCGCTTCACCCAGATTTCAACAGAAGGCAAGGAGGGGAGCTCACAGCCCAGGCAGTCATTGCTTCACCTGGATTTCACCAGGGCCAGGAGGAGGCTCAGCCCCATGGGGCAGGTCTCAAAGGCAGCAGGGAACACGGGGCGGTGACAGCTCCCTGCGTGAGGCAGAATGGGCCATCAGCCACCTTCAGTCGGGATCCTGCTGCTTGCAGGGGAGACAACCACTAATGTTACCCAGAATAGAGCAAGCAGGGCCAGAGAAGCAATGAGAGATGCTAAAGGACACACCTAGGGAGGCAAAATAGATCTTACAACACAGAAATCCCGGAGATGGGGGAGAGGCCGGGGAAATCAATCTAACCCACAGTTTGTTTGCTCCATTCCTTTTCATGCAAATGCATTAAAAAGCGAGTTCTGTTTTTTGACAGCTTCACTGTGCTTCCTGTGGTACTGTCTTATACAGCATATATATACATATACATGTATATATATACGGTAGCAGAACTAGTAACAATGTATAAAAGACCGAAATGCTCCAACTTTGCAGGTCCATATACTACCTATGGTAGGTAATATGCCAAAAATACATGCATCTGTGTTGCTTTTGTGCAACATTCTTGTTTTTTTCTCTTGTTGAAAAATATTTATTAGTTTCCAAAATGACCCCTAACATCTAAATTCAGGTTCTTAATAATAATTTCTCTCATTTTCTGAAGAGCAAAGCATAGTTAAGAGATGTCATTAATATCTTTACCTGTTCCCTAACAAGAAAGTCCAGTGTTTCTCAATAAAAGCACAAATATCTTCTTTCCACCTAAAGTACCCTTGGCGGCCAGTTCCTTCCAGGGACAAATTGTACATTGCCAGCATGACGACCTGGAAAAGAAATGCTAGAGGTTAAAAAAATACCCATTTATATCATCTCATGGTGGAGAAAAAAAAAAAAGAAAACCTTTCCATCCTCTTAAATGTCCTTTGTTTTGTTTTGGCATAATCTCGTAGGCAATTTCTGTCATCCATCTTTCTGCTTTCATACTCTTCTCTCTTGTTAGCCACACATTTTCCAATTCCTCGTGGAGGTAATAAGCTGCTTAGTTACATAGATTTATAATGAGATACAAGCCTTTGCATGAGAGCAATATAGAAGAACTATATCGTGGCTGGGATATGACTAGTGTGAAGGCAGGGAAAAGCCTATCCAAAAATAATAATAATAAAAGGGCTGTAAGTCATCCTACTTGGTAATTCACCAGAAATGTAGGGACAGAAATCTTTCTACATACTCACTGCTACATTTCAAACATGATACAAGTTAAACTTTTTGAAAAAATACATACTATCTATCTATAGTTCTGAGCACCCACGAATTACAACTTCCTCCCCATGCTCTTCATTAAACAGAAGCCATTTACAGCTTATTCACATGCTCATCCACAACCAAATTCAGCTGGAGCTACTATATGCCTAAACAAAAAGACAAATTGGACAAAAAAAAATCACACCTCATTATGAGTAAATCCAAGAGCAGAAACTGTTAATTACATTTAATCATTTCACTCAATACAGTTAAAATAGTGCAGCTGGGCTTAAATCACCTCCCAGTAATCACACAGCCTCAGCTGGATACCACTTCCCGGGCGGACATGTTCTTCCCTTTCCTAGAGGTTTCAAATACAGTTTTGGGGAGACGTTCTCCTCGCAATGGGCGGTAGCTTCATAGAATATATCTCTGAAGACGCCAAAATGAAGAAATACAGGCATCTTAAATGTTCCATCTATCCTCTTCCTGCCTTCTCCTTGGTTTGAAAACTATTTCTCTACATAATATATACCTTTAAACCCAGGTGAAACAGTGTCTCAGAACGTCACAAACACTTGTATTTTCAATAGGCTAAAAAAAAAAGGGTGGGGGTTGTTGGGGCCACATATCCTGAGAAGTCTAGAAATAACAACTGTTTCAAAATAAAGTGATTCAACCACTTCCACCAAATTGGCTTACCCCAGCAGTAGCATCTCTGGCTGCTGGAAGCATAGGAAGATAAATTAATCACTTGCCAGCTTCCTCTTCAGACATTCTTTTGAATTTGTCTTTCCATTCCTCGTATCATTCTCCTCCCACTCTAGTGGAAAAATTGGAGTGTGATGCTAATGGCCTTTGCTTTGTAACTTGGCCAATAAATTCTTTTGTTCTGCTAGCCACAGAGTGCCATGCTAATGGTGGGTCCAGATAACAAGAGCACTACGAAATAGCCCTTGCACCTGAAGATTCCCAGGTCCCAGTGCTCTCAGTAACATTACCAGCTTCCTTGGGACGAAGGAAGCACGTTGCATTAGGAAGCTTCAGCAGTAAATACCAGCAAGGACTACTGCGAACAAGGAGGCTGCCAAAAGATAACTTATTCAGATTACAGAGAGCAGAAACAGCTTTCTGTTTAGGCAGCTGGCAAACTTCTGTTTATATATTGCCACCTCACTAGCTTTGCATTTGCTCACGTAAAAACAACTGCTCATGCCTAGCAGCCAAACTGCATGCACTTTGCTTTTTCTGAACTTGCCTGAGGCCATGAATTCAGGAGCAACATGAATGAAAAAATAAAATCAAACAAAACAACAACAACAAAAAAGAGAGGAACGTGGTTTGTATGATTACCTCCCAATCTACTTGCCAAGTGCTCAAGTTCTAATACACAGGCAATCCTTAGCTAATTCATTTCTGAAGTTCATGGATGTCCGTCTTTGTTATCTATTACCAATCCTCATTTTTCAGGTAACATATGCACAATAAACAACAATTTTATAAACTATTGTGGTTACCCAGCTGGCACAATTATTTCTACTTACTTGTTGCCATGTTAATCTCAGCCGTTCATATTGCTCCTTCCCATCTTCTGAGCAATCGGAGCAAGTAAACCTGAAAAAGTTATCACCTTTGAGGTAGCTGAGCTGTTCTCTCAGTTGACCTGCAACAAATAGGCAAAAAAGCAAGTTATATGTGTTTGGTAGAAAAAAAAAAAGATGCAAAGTATGTTAAGTATATTTAGATTCCCCACAAGATCAGGCAGAAAAGTAATTTTGACTTTTCTTGGAGTAGTGATCGAGACAGCTCCTAAACAAATTTCCTACTTCACAGTGATGACTAAGGTACAGAGCAATTTTCCTGCTGCAGAGATCAGCGGTGACCAACTGAAATGCACAGCTGTTCAGGAGAGGCGCCCTGCTTAACATCTGGACAGGTGAAAAGACAAAGGGGTTGCTTGTTCTGCATTTTTCACTCCCTCTTGCCTCCCTAGGCTAAAAAATATACCTCAGTAAATAACTAGTTTTGCATTCTATTTAAAGAAAAGCCAACCTGTAAAAAACATATGTAGCTGCAAAGGCCATTAGAATATACAGGCTTTCTCTTTCTTGTCACCTTTCCACTAATTATGTGATTTTACAGCTTGCTTTTTCCATTTCCCTGTACACGTATCACTAACCTACCAGGGCTGTCAATCCCTGCTTACAGCATCATGCGTGTTAGACATCGTGTGGAGCTTTAAGGTATTTATGACTCCTTTCAGTGGTTAATCTTCTTTCCTTGAGACTGCGAGCCAAAGGAATGGCCTCAGTGGACAATAGGGAACAATATTATCATGAAACAGGTTGGTTTTTTGTCTACTGTTCATGCATTAGGTCCCAAATCAGCAAAGCATTTCAGTGTGTGCTTTGCAGCAGAAAGCCAGCCCTGAATGCAAGTTTATCTGAACAAGAGTGGTCTGCTGGGACGGAGCCAACTGTAAATGCCCATGCATCCAAAAGTTAAATGTTTTAATTCCATGGTTCACTTGCAGAGCATGGGGTGGAAAAAAAAGAAAGAAAAAAAGAAGTGAAGCAAAATGAAAAGAAGAAACAGATGAATCTGAAATTCTAAATTCACCAGGGTTAATTTACACAAATGAGTATATATATAAAAAAAGAAACAAAAAAATCACAAACCACAGGAACACTTATGACTGCAGCCTTTCTGAAACTGCACCTACGAAAGGCTGTTTCTTGACAGCATTTCACGTCTCTTAGTAGGCTGTGGCACCAGATCAAGCCTTTCCCAATGCTAGGAGGCTGCTCCACTTCTGTAGAGAACTGCAAAATGTGGCTATTAAAGCTGCACCTGGGTCTTTGGTGCGAAAACCCACAGTTGTTAGAACTGCAGAATTTCTAGAGGGCAATTCAACACAGAAAGAGGCTATTTGTCTGAGGCTGCTGGCAACTTCCACAAGCAACAACTGAGATCAGTTTAACTGAACAATAGTAAAGAGAACTGGATTTCCTTTTTTTTTCCCCCACTTTGTTTACTTTACACATTTGTATCTAGTTACTGTTGCTCCCTGATCAGCTTTCTCTGCTCTTTGGATTTGTTACGCAGCAACAAGAGAGGAACATCGTGGTAAAACAGGACAAATTGAGTGTAAAATTAAGTGTTCTCCAATGCAATATCTCATGCTACTTGGACTCGGTTGCCTTTTTTTGAGAAAGAGAAATTCCTAATTTTCAAGTAGATGTGTCTCTTTAGCAGATTCTTACTGTATCTCATTAGTACTATGGTAGCTCGATTACACTTGCTGACCTGGCTTTGAGAGATTTCCACCCTGTAACTTTTGGTGAATTTGACAAAGGCAAAATGGGTCTCTGCAAGGTAGGTGCCACCTGAAGAGCTCACTGTTTCCAGCCAAAGGCAGCACTTAATAATATGTAAGTTTTAGACCTAATAATAAATTCAATCATTTAGATTAGAGAAAAGCACGTCTAGTCTGTTACCTAGTGAAAAACATGTATTTTGCATCAAACAGCAGTAGCAGAGATCAAGTGATCCAAACCACCCCAAATGCCTCCAAAAGCTGCTAAAGGCTTGACATGCTCCTGTGAAACCTAAATTAAGTTCATATTATCGGGAAGCCATTAAGGTTGAGGTTTAGTCATGTATTCCAAAGAAGTGACAGAAAGACAGAAAGAAGTAACACCACCTACAGAACCATTTTCACCTGCAGACCTTTACAGAAACAGCCATTACCTTGAAGTCACTGATGAGTGAGATGCAAAGTCCCTTGGCTGAAGTCACCCAACGTGCCAAGAGCAGGACTGGGAAGCGTGTGCTCATGCTCCCCAAGCCCTGCCCTGGCTTCCAGTTTACTAACTTGCTGGCTTTCAGTTTACACATGGTCCCATTTTATCCTTGGGGAATGCCAGGTCTGGACACCCATATGGCTGATGGGTGTAAGCCCCTCATGTGCACAAACACAACAAGGGGCCTTAGGTTACCAGGCTCTGCATGGTGCCCAAAGAGCATTTCTTCCCTATAACAAAATAAGGCTAAATAGAGCTATCCTTTAAAATGGAGAGCAAAACCAGCTTGCCTCATTTTGAAGCCATGTGAGCCCCACACATGGTATTTTGAGGGTACCCAGAGCAAACTGGAAATGGGAAGCACTACAAGAAACAAGAAAAACAGCATCCTTACTGGCTGGTATCCACTTCTGACACTTCTCACAGTAATAGGACATCTCCTCCATCCAGGATGCATCTCCTTCGTCACTGTTCAGAGAGTCTCCACTCTGATCGTGCGACAAATCCACAGAGGCCTGATCCTCGGACTCGACGATCAAGAGGGTCTCCCCTTCCACCTCGCCCTCCTCCAGACCTTCCGAGGTCGATGTCCGTGTCGCTTCGTCATCGTGGCGACTCAGCAGCCCGCTCATGTGAACGTTATTAGCCATCCTCCAGCTCGGGAAGGAACGCAGCGTCAGCAGGACACGGCCGCTCACACAACCCACTGCACGCGCCGGTCGGGTCTCCACACAGGGAAGTGCTGAAGATAGAGGCTCTACAGTTTTTTGTACAGTGTTATAATGTATCTGAAAGAAATCGTCTTTCACGGATTATCTCCGCTTACTTGGGAGCTGCAAGAGAGCAAACCTTGCCAAATGCCAACCTCCAAACTGGGAGGGGTCAGGACTGTGCCTAGGAGTGCTGGGAGCCTTTCTCCAGCAGCATCTTGTCTCTGTCTTCTTTGAGCTGCTTTGTCAAAGAGATCTGCTCTTCTAAACGACGAATATTTTCCTCTTTCTGACTGAGTCGCTCCAGGTCTCTGAGAACTCCTTTGTGCAGCCTCTGGAAATACAAGAGACGGGTTCATCACAGCCTATTTGATATCGAATACGACTGATCTCCACCTGGGCTCTAATCCCTCCGGCAGCGCTGTTAATCGTGTTACCTTTGCAGATCTTCAGTTCTCTGCTGCCTTTAGCCATAGCCACTTTCCTGATTGAATTTAAAAGACTATAATAATTGACATCTGACGTCCATAAGCTGATAGCAGCAGGGCAAAAATACTTCCTTTGTGTTTCCTTCAGTTGGGTGCCCTCACTGTGGGGGAAAGCTAGAGGACAAAGAAATGCTATGAATCAGTCCCTCCGACAGTGCTCAGGAGGGAAAGCAAATCTGCAGGCCCAAGGAAATCCCAGCTATTTTTTTTCTTCCTTCCCCTTTTTTTTTTCCCTCCCCCAAGCTACCCTGAGGTTTTCTTCACTCTGATAATCAAGAGAAATGCTTAACCTTAATTTCTTACCCGCAGGAACAGGGAATTTAAAAACAAGTGACACCAAAGGCACTGATTTAGATCTGGCTGGGGAAAACAGAGGGGAGGCCATGGAAGAGCAAAGGGATGTCGTCCCTCCATTCCCATCCTCTCCTCTGCACTCGCAGTAGTGCTCACCTCATCCCAATCCAGGCAGAGAAAACAGCAGAAAGCAGCTCATCTTTTCTTTTTTTTTCATTTTTTCCCTGCCATAAAGAAGTCACACACTGTCACACTTTGCTGATTTGCCTCCCTGGACCAGCTCACCAGCAGGTAAGCACCAGCACAAAGGAGAACATGGCAACACGTTGCCTAATGATGATGCCAATAAAAAGCCTAATGACAAAATTTGAAGGATGGATTTGATCTATTTTCATGCTGCCAAAACGCACCTGTGAGTAATTTATTTGAAAACTGACCCTAAAGTTATTTTCAAAGATGCCTGTGATTATTATTTGACAAGTTCTCACAGGATTTTTGGCTTTCATCTAGAATACCAGTAAGTGCACAATTTGCTCTGATTAAGATTCAAGGTAGGAATGTTTTGCTCAAGAAATACTTTATCTTGCTCAAAGAGTACAGACACGTATGTCAGCCTGCAATCAAAAGCCTCACTGGAAATTAATAAAAGGAGTTCCTTCCTGTCGGCTTCAAAACGCTGAATTCCGGTTACAAATTACAAATCACTAAAAACACAGGTCATGAACTAATTACTTCATTAGTGCTCTTTAATAACAATAAACATACAAAAAGATACTGTGTCACTGAACAATCAGGGCATCAAGTATGTTCATCTTTTTCATTCATAAAATACAGCTCTTTGGCAATCCTCCAGATGCTGAAAAAATACATTTCCTCCTCAAAGGCAGAGTTTGTAAAAGACACCTTCATTGTTTTTGCCTCAAGCATGACAAAAAGCTACAAAAAAGTCATTCTCTCCTTCTATTCTCAAATGTTAGGAGTGTTTGTCTTCTGAATCAATTTAAATAAATTTATGCAAGCTCAAATCAATTAACACCTGGAATATCAAATTATAAGAGTCAAAACATTGCTAATCTGAATGAAGGTGAAGGTGAAATAATCCCTACACCAGGTCCGAAGGGTGTACACATTACTTATTTTCATTTCTCTTTCTAAGTAATTGGGTCTCTTGGACCTGAAGTTCTTATTCCCCCTCGAACATCAAGAATTATAAAGCTAAAATTTCAGATTCTGTTTATGTTACCGGGGTATTAGGATAAGTTGACATTACATCAACATATAAAACCTATGTCAAGCTCATCTTTTGGAGGTATCTTTCATAATCTAAAGAAGCATTTTGCTAAGCCCCATATGGACTGGTCACTGCCATGGTCTGAACCCCTGTGCTGGATACACATTTTAAGAGCAGAAGGGGTTGCCAGGAGGGAAGATAGATGCCCGCATCCTTGCTTGCACAGGGTGGTTTTCCTGCAGCGCCTTAGTCCTTCTCAAAGGCTGCGCTAGGGCGGACAGGAACGGACAGGTTACGTTTTGCGCGTGGAAAGGGACCAAACAGGCCAGGAGACTAAGGCCAAGGAAAGACGTGAGGTCAAAGCGGGACCTGGGCAGCCTGCACGGGAGCACGGGGGGCGGGGCTCCAGCAGAGGGGCGGGGCTACGAGGCACGGGGGCGGGGCTATAGGGCAGCCTGGCCTG